GTGTCCTGGGAACCACAGACTGGACCCTGGACCTCCTACATGCAAAGCATGTGCTCAGCCCGTCTCTCTGGCTCTAAGAGTAACGGCATGGGGGCCTGGAGGGATAGCACAGTGGGTAGGGCATTTGCTTTGAACACGGCTGACCTAGGTTCAATCCCCGGCATCCCATATGGTCCTCCAGCACCGCCAGGAGTTAATTCCTGAGTACAGAGCCAGGAGTAACCCCTGAGCATCACTGAACATTCTTCCCAAAAGCAATGGTACCCCTGGCGGGTACCCAGGTTAGGAGGTACGGCTCACTGGCCCAAGCGAATGTGCTCTGCCTTCCACTGTCTGAAATATACGTGCTGACATGGGTCTGCCAAGCTTCACCTTCCTTCCAACCAGGTCATCAAAGAGGAACGCAGGCTTGTCACAGAAAAGTGGAGAACGAGATCACCCCAGCATCCTGCCAGCCCGGGGAGCAGACGTCAGGGCTGGGGGCAGCGGGGTGGGTCTGTGACGTCACGGGAATATTCCTACAACTCATAAATGAAAAGACAGCCGTGTACTACAGCTAGCTGATGCCCCTTTTTGAAGCATTCCTTTCCCAAAAAGAAAGGAAAAAAAGAGTAACGTCAAGTAGGGCCCGTCTTGGTGGGCCCACAAGGCTTCTTTCTGCAGGGAAGGCTTAGGAAAGGACCACCACGTGAGGGTCTCGAGAGAGCGAAGGGGACTTGTGCATGAATGACTCTCACCCATCCTGGGCGCTGGCACCCTGCTGGCCCTGGGCTAGCCGGGGACCCAGTAGCACTCCCTAAAACGCTCCTTAAAATCAGGGAACAATTACCATTATTCTAGAAGCCCTCAAAGGAAATGAGCGTGTTAGGCAGTGAGGGCCTCATGGCATAAGCGACATCTCCGAGACCCCCGTGGAAGGGAACACCAGTGAGTGAGACTGTTGCCTGGCTACCGCAGCCCGCCCAAGGCAGCCACGCAGGGTGGACAGGCGGGGGTGTTGGGCTGCGGGTGGCGACAGTTTAATAATAGTAATAAGCCTGTACATTTGTACAACACTTTACAGTTTACATGGGACTTCTACATCCGTTTCCCAATTTAAGCTGCACAATAACCCCGTACCAAAATATAAGCAGCCAAAAATACACCATAGAATTTCTGTGGGTGGACATTCTGGATTCAAAGATAATGAGAGTGTGCAACTAGCGTTGGCGTGGAACTGGACAGGGGCCACTAACCGGGCCCAGGCGTTAGTAAAGACTGAGGAAGGCATAGAAGGGGTCCCGCTGGCCTCCCCAAGCAGGGACAGCGGGCAGTGTCCATTGGCCATAAGCTCACAAGGCAGCTGCCCGAGAAAGGGGGTGGGCGTGGCGTCAGGCTGGACTTGTCTCGTGCAGGGTCTCTGCCCTCCCCACAAGACCCGGGGTCCAAAAGTAGAGAGAGAATATGGGGGAAATTGTCTGCCATGGAGGCAGGTTGAGGGTTGGAAAGGGGGGTAATATTGGGGACATTGGTGGTGGGGAATGTGCACTGGTGGAGGGATGGGTGTTTGACCATTGCGTGATTGAAACTCAAACATGAAAGCTTTATAACTGTATCTAAAGGCGATTCAATTAAAAGATTTTTTAAATGACATAAGCGGGCTGGAGCAATAGCACAGTGGGTAGGGTGTTTGCCTTGCATGTGGCCAACCCGAGTTCAATTCCCAGCATCCCATATGGTTCCCTGAGCACCGCCAAAGGGAAATTCGTGAGTGCAGAGCCAGGAGTAATCCCTCTGTGCATTGCCAGGTGAGACCCAAAAAGCCAAAAAAAAAAAGAAGAAGAAAGAAAAAAAAAAAGAAAATGACATAAAAGAAAAAAGAAAAACAAGATCTGGGGTCACAGGTGGGGATGGAGCCCGGAAACCATCATTGCTCCTTTTGAGGCCAAGGCCAGTGGGCAGCCACACAGGGGCAGTGGGGTGTGTGTGTGGGGGGGGGGGTGTCCCTGAGAGGTGAAGCTCCAGCTGTTTGATGGTGAGTCTCTCACACGTCCATGGACCTGAGTGAGGGGCTGAGACCGAGCTATCGAGGTGGGTGCTCCTGTGACTCAGTGAACATTCTTGCTTGTTTTGTTCGGGCAGGAGCTGGGGGCTAGGTAGGGGGTTGTCACACCCAGCTCTGCCCAGGGGCTTACTCCTGGCTCTGTGCTCAGAGGTCACTCCTGGCAGGGCCCAAGGGACTTAGGAAGCGCCCCACCTACTGTACGATAGCTCAGACCAGTAAACATTCTGATAGAGGGTTACCCCCGCGTGAGCTTTCTGAACCCCTTCCCCACCCCCCAGTATGAAGGAGTGAACTAGAACGGAGGACAGGGTGCGGAGAGGTGGGGGAGAGCAGTCGGGAGCCTCAGTGCATGGGTGGTGTGGGGGCGTGGGTAGCTCTAGACCCAAGCTGTCAATGGGAGCAGGAGACCCAGGCCACAGCAGCCAAACTGAGACACGGGCCTGTCCAGGGGGCGGCGGGCAGGGAGGGAGGGGCACGGGGACGATGTGGAGGGATGGTGCTGGAATATCGCATCCCTGTAACTCAACTATGGATAACTTTTTTTAATTTTTATTTTATTTTATTTTCTCTTTGGGTCACACCCAGCGATGCACAGAGGTTATTCCTGGCTCGTGCACTCAGGAATTACTCCTGGCGGTGCTCGGGGGACCTTATAGGATGCTGGGAATCGAACCCGGGTCAGCCGCATGCAAGGCAAACAACCTACCCACTGTGCCATCACCCAGCCCCTGGATAACTTTTTTAACCACAGTGTTTTCATAATGTATATTAATATTATATATTCTCTTCAATATTTACAAAGCTCAAAGATGTTTTGAAAATATTAGGCTGCGGCAGGGGTGGGGAGGATGAGAGGCGTCTGCTATAGGGATGGCCAAAGCCTGCACGTAGGCCTGACCCTCACTGGGGTCCTCCTCGGGCCGACTGTGTCCCTCTGCTGCTCCCCGCCTTGTCTACCAGCTGCTGGCCTGTCCACAACAGCCCCGCATCCCCCCTGCCCACTCTTCCCCCCCCCCCCATCCTCCCTCCGCGTGCCCTAGTCTGAGCTTGCTCTCACTCTCTGTTCCAACTCTCCCCTGCTCCCTGTAGCCTTCACGTCCCCAGACGGCTCGTGGACGCTGAGAATGTCAGCCTGGTTGTAAACTGTGTTTGCCTGGTGACAGAGCTGGAAGTCCTCTGTCAGGGCGCGACAGAGCATCGGCACGTGAATGTCCTCCCAGAAAACCTGCTGGATTGTTCCTTTCCTACCCTCTCTCTCGGCTCTCTCTGGGCAGTGGGTTTGAGAACCAGCCATGCAACCTAGCACTTCTCAGAACCCGCGAGAATGTCCACCAGCCCACTGGCACGCAGCCGTGTCTGTTCATACCAGGAAATTGGCATCTTTTCTTGAATGCCCTTGTTACCCCTGAGCTGAAAGGGCGATGCCCGCCCTTACAACTGCAAGGGGATGTGAAAAGGAGCACAGACAGCAGCCAAAGGGAATTGGTCCTAGGCTGGCGGGGAGATTGGGATTTCTGTGTGTTTCTTTTGGTTTGCTTGGGGCCACACCAGGCAGTCCTCAGAGCTGCCCTGGCTCTGCGCTCAGAGATCACCCCTGGTAGTGCTCAGGGGACCAGGTGGGGTGTCGGGGATCAAACCCAGCTTAGCCGCTTGGCCAGGCAAGTACCCTACCCACTGTATAAGGCTCCAGCCCCAATTTCAGACTTTCCTGTGTGGCTCCATCGATGTTCATGTTCTTTCTTGTTGTTGTTCTGGGCGCTAGTGCCAGGGCCGCCCGTGTGCCAGGGCCGCACAGAGCTGGGCTCACACTCTGGCCGCGCATATGCTAGGACGGCGCCTGCCACTGAGCCTCACCCCAGCCCTCTGTTTGGTTTTATCTATTTATTTATCTATTTATTTATTTATTGAATCACTGTGAGATGCAGTTACAGAGTTGTTCATGATTGGGTTGCAGTCCTACAGTATTCCAACACCCGTCCCTCCACCAGTGTATATCCCCCACCACCAATGTCCCCAGTTTCCTTCCCGCCATACCCCCCGCCCCCCAGATTGTCTCTATGGCAGGCACTTCTCTTCTTCCTCTCTCTCTCTCCCTCTCTCTCTCTCTCTCTCTCTCTCCCTCTCCTTTTGACCATTATGGTTTTCAGTACAGGTACTGAAAGATTATCATGCTCCTCCCTTTACCTCCTTTCAGCATCAGTTCTTGTCCACAGCGGTCATTTCCAGCTGTCACTGTCATAGTTGACTTCTGTATCCCAATTCCCCTCCCCACTCCACAACTTGAGGCAAGCTTCCAACCCTGGGCCATGCTCCTCGCCCTTGGTTCTACTGTCCTGGGGTATTTTAGTCTCATACTATTTTTTTTTTTTTCGTATTCCACAAGTGGGTATATTCATTCTATGTCTGTCTCTCTCCCTCTGACTCATTTCACTCAGCATAATTCCTCTCCGTGTCCATCCATTTATAAATGAGTTTCATGGCTTCATGTTTCCTGGAGGCTGCGTAGTTTTCCATTGTGTAGATGTACCATAGTTTCTGTCTCCAGTCTTCTATTCTCGGGCGCTCATCACTCGGGCCTTTTGTCCCCTCCTTACTCACACCCTGTGTTTCAATGTGTTTGTGTGTTTTGTTAGGGCTCACACCCAGTGGTGTTGGGGATCACACCCAGGGCTCCAGCAGGCAGTGCTCCAGCAGGCACGCACTCCAGTCCTTTGTGCCTTTGGCCTGGCCCCTGGTCGGTTGCTTTGTTCTGGGTCACACCCTGCTGTGCTCAGGTAGCCATGCAGCTCCGGGATCGGACCCAGGTGTCCTGCATGGGAAGCCTGAACTCAGCCCTTTGACACCCTCTGCCCACCCCGGCTTTGTCACCTAATGGGGGACGTGGCACTTCCCTTGCTGAAGGTCCACAAAGGCATTTGTCACGCCCGATAACCCCCAGCCCTATTTTTCCTCGCAGTGAAAACGCTGTTCAATCCAGCTCCTGCCCTTTCCGACCTGGACCCCCGGTTCTACGCCCTCTCTGACGTCTTCTGCTGCAATGAAAGCGAGGTAAGGGGACGGGCTAGCTGGGCCCGGCCGGGAATAAAAGGTTAATCCCGACAGGCGGATGAAGCCAAGAAGCAGGACTACCATTTGATTGCACTTGAATTCTGGGGCCCCCATAAAAAAGTGATTTTTCAGTTACCTGGAATGCGGCACAAAGAAGAGAAAGGAGCCCCAGAAGAGCCCCACTGTCCGTCCTTCAACCGATGCTCATTTCAGTCCCCTCCAGCTCCCACTCTGTTATCAGTATTTTCTCTTATAATGTGTCCATGTTCTATAATCTAATCAATGTATTAGGATTGTAGTTAATGAAAATAGAGGCCATCTCTCTGAAGTGGAAGAAGTATAGGAAAGGGATAGCAGACCAGGCTTGCCTATACTCGGACATCACTTGCTTTTACCTGAGTCTCATTTCACTGGGTGGCCTGGGTGGCCTCAGCACCCCAGGTTAACACGCAGCCCCTGGAGTGTCTTGTGTGCTGCAGCCTTCAATCGTGGGTCTGTCCAGTGACATGGCAAAGACCGTGGGCTCCTGCATGAGGGGGGCACCCGCCTGCCCATCCAAGGTTGCCAGGCACATCTGCATCTCTACAAAATACCAGTCGAGGCACCAGAGAGGTAGTCTGACAGGGCACTCGCCTTGCATGCAGCTGACACTGGCTAGATGCCCAGCCCCCCACACCCCTCAGGAGTGATCCCTGAGCATGGACCCGGGAGTTAGCCCTGAGCAATGCCAGGTGTGACCCAAAATTTTTTTTAAAATAGTATTTTAATTGGTATTTTTCTATTGTGTCATTCATTCTGAAGTAGTTCCAAAAAAAATTTCCTTTTTTTTTTTTTTTTTTTTTTTTGCTTTTTGGGTCACACCCAGTGATACTCAGGATACTCAGGGGTTACTTCTGCCTCTGTGCTCAGGAATTACCTAGTGATGGTGCTTGGGGGACCATATGGGATGCCAAGGATTGAACCCAGGTCGGCCACGAGCAAGGCAAATGCCCTACCTGCTGTCCTATCACTCCAGCCCCTAGAAGAAAATTTCCATGGTTCTTCCCCTTGGGACCCAGACAGTATTAACCCAAAGCTCTCCCTGACATTACCAGGCACACGCGGGCAGCCCACAAAGCAGTCGGCAGTCATTTTCTGTTTGCTTCAAAGAGCGAGAGAAGGTGCCTGGGTTTCTGGACCAGCCTTTTCAATCATTTTCACTCTCAGAACCTCGAGGAAGGAAACGAGAAAGAAGCCCGCTACAAGGAAGCTCGGTCTTTCCCACCATAGTTGGTTTATGTGACCGTTGGGAGCAGTCACCATGACCGGGCTCTGTGTGCAGGGGCAGGAGCGCTGGGGGGAGGGTCCACCTCCCCTGGGACATGGTCACTCTCAGCTGCCCAGCTGGCCTGGGTTTGCCCTGCTAGAGACGCTCAGAGCATCTGTTTAGTCTCCAGACAGTCCTCTCAGCTCCAGAGACTGGTTCCGGGCCTCTTCAATGACCACAGTTCACAACATAATTGTCCCCAATTTTATGCCAAATAAATTTTGTTGCAAAAACAAACAAACATGAGGTACAAACACTCTCCAGAGCTTCTTATCTAAAGGTTATATATCAATTTTCAAACTGAAAAAAAAATGCAGTACAATGATCATGCAGTGGAAGCAGTTATGCAGTGAAATATGGTACAACGGCTGTGCGCCCAGGGATGGGCCTTACTTGTTATAGCACAGTGAGTCATCCGTCCCGTCATACTGCATCTGTCCCAATGTTTCTGCTTATCGACTGGTGCATAATCAGTTATCCTCCACACATAGCAGGTTGCCACCCTCGTTGCCGAGCGTCCTCCCATCTCCTGTGCGTGAGGAACTGAGGCGGGGCGTGGCAGGGTTGGCTACTCCCCGCCATGGCTGCAGCCGCCTTCACGCACACGGTGGTCGGTTGGTGCTGGCCGTGGCCAGACCCGCCTGTGTGGCCTCCTCACAGGAGGGAGCTGCGTGCAGGATTCAGTATCGGGAGGGGAAGGGAGAGAGCCAGGCAGGCAGCCTGTCAGCTTCTATTGATTCAGAAAAGTCCACCCAAACCCCACCTCGCTGTGGCAGCAGTTCCGGACCCAGGTGATGCCCAGAGAACCAGCGCAGCACAGTACCAGGAGTGAGTGCCGAGCACAGCTGGGTATGAGCCAACAAACGAACAAATGAAGGTGTCATCTGCTCTCTTGCGGCTGGCACCTATGGAGTACATATCAGATGGGTGGAGAGTGGACAGGCCCTGGTCTTTAAGGAAAGTGATCTCAGCTGGTACAGCGGTGAAGGCACCTGCCTGGCCCATGGCTGACCCCAGTTTGATCCCCACATAGTCCCCTGGGCATCACCAGGGACAGCCCCAGATGCCCCCATGTGCTGCTGTGGTGGCCAAGTGACGCCCCACACTCCAGGGCCAAGACTGTACCACCTCCTCGGTGTGAGTGTTGAGCTGCAGGTCCAGGTAGTCAGGAATCACCGAGAGGGGCCTCCAGGCCTCCTGAGCACAACTCTGGGACACCACCCCTCCCCCACCCCAGCCCCACTGCCCTGCAAAGAAAATTCACCTCAGAAACGTACTGTTAAAAAAGACTTTAAGGGGACTGGAGCGATAGCACAGCAGGTAGGGCGTTTGCCTTGCACATGGCCAACCTAGGTTTGATTTCCCACCATCCCATATGGTCCCCCGAGCACTACCAGGAGTAATTCCTGAGTGCAGAGCCAGGAGTAACCCCTATGCATCACCGGGTATGACCCCAAAAACAAAAAAGATTTGAAAAGCTTAAAAAAATAATAAAAGCGTAGCATTTCTTTTCTGTTCCTCTTTGATCTGAGTATGCCTCTCCTGAGGCATGGCTGCACTGGTGGCCAGATGTGGTACTCATACACAGGGATCATAGATGACAGTAAAACAGCTGGAGATCATAATCGATGTGTGGACTAGTGACGGGCTGGAAACCTGTTGCACGCAAAGGCAGGCACTGTGCCACTGACCCGTGTCCCCAGTTCGTGTCATGGTGCAGGTAAAGATGCACTTAGATGCTCATTTATAGAAGAGGAAGAGGAGGGCTGTCCCAAACAGCTTCTGTATTGTGAGAGTTGGAGGCAACAGGTGAGGAGGGAAGACGGGAGTCTACTGCTTCCCTTCCCCCCACCCCCAACCCCACCTGGGTCACCCAGAAAGGGCCTGGGAAGTCAGGACATATGAGAGTCTGCAGTGAGCCCCTGCATGGTAGAGACCTTATGAGTCACTGGCCCCACACGGCCACTGTCAAGCTGCTCCTGACGTCCACGTGCTCTGCCCAGTGTGGGGGACGAGCCCCACCATCCAATTCCTCAGGGAGGCATGGACTCAGGCTGGAGCCGGGAATTGCTCCTTGCAGGAAGGAAAAGTCAGTCCTAGATTTTTCTACCCAGCACCTTCCTTCACAGAAGAGAATGTCAGGAGGAGTCGAATAGTGAAGTAAAACAGCTTTAGAGGCAATGAAGAAGGAAGGAGAGAGACAGAAACAGAGAGAGATACAAAGAGAGACAGAGAGAGAGACAAAGAGAAAGAGAGAGTTCAGGCCTCTCAGGTAGTAATTCCTGAGTTCAGAGCCAGGAGTAACCCCTGAGCATCACCGGGTGTAGCCCAAAACAACAACAACAAAAGTCATGCTCAAAGCCAGCAGTTTTCAACTTTCTAAAACCACTGTGGATTGATCCCAGTCCTCGGATGAGAGTTTGAAACCTCTGCTGGTTTGTGTATAGAGCAGAGGGTGTACCAGCGATTAGAAAGGAAAAACTTAATAACTCACAAATCAGAAATGGGACAGAATCCCAGTGCCTTGCTCCCTGTCATGTGCTGTCCCCGGCTCCTGGAAGCTGGCCGAGGTGGTTGGAAGCTGGGCCCCAGTGAGCTGGACCCCCTGTGCAGACAGCTGCCCTGGGCACTGGAAGCTCCACTCCTGACCTGTCTTTCCTGTTACTGCTCTGCAGGCGGAGATCCTGACAGGACTGGCCGTGGGCAGCCCCGAGGAGGCTGGGAAGGCCGCACTGACGCTCAGGGACAGAGGCTGCCGGGTGGTCATCGTCACCTTGGGTGCGGAAGGATGTGTGATGCTATCACAGGCAGACACCTCCCCCAAGCACATCCCCACGGAGAAAGTGACGGCCATGGACACCACGGTAGGCTTTTCCATTTCCTGGTCCCTTACGGGTCATGCCTGGCCTTGCGATGCGCCTCGAACTTTCCGAGCACGAGGGAGAAGCCTCGGAGGGGATATGGTCAAAGGAGGGGACCTGGGGCCGGGGAACTTCAGCGCCAGTCCCCTGAGCCCCTGGGGGACGTGGCGTGAGCACTCAGAAACTCAATTTCCTCATCCATAAAATGGGACTCTCAGTCAGCTTTGACCTAATTGCTTTTTGTGGTTGTTGTTTGGTTTAGTCTAGTTTGGGGGATGCTCCCACAGTGCTGAGGGGCTGCTCCGAGCTTGGTGGTTGGGGGTCACTCCTGCAGGTGCACGGGAACCATGCAGTGCCTGAACCCTGGGCTCCCGCTCACAGAGGCAGTGCTCCGTCTTTGGAGGTGCCTCCCTGGCTCCATGTTTTGGCATTTGTTTATACCTGTATTGCATGTATATTCATTCAAAGGAGACTTTGCTGAATCCGTCTCCTAGGCCAGCAGTGTATTAGGTGCTAGGATTACAGTCCCAGGTCAGACACGGGTCCAGATAGTCAACAAATTGCAGGTCTCTCAAACCTGAAGTGGAATGAGACAGCTTGGAGCGCTGACCAAGTTGTAACCACAAGTTGTAACCAGTGGTAACAACGCTCTGTTGTTTGGTTTTGGTTAATTTGGGGGTCACAACTGGTGGTGCTCAGGGCTTACTCCTGGCTCTGGGCTCAGGAATCACTCCTGGTGGACTCGGGCATCTGTGTGGAATGCAGGGGATCAAACCCCAGTCAGCCACATACAAGGGGAGCACGCTGCCCACTGCACTATGTCTCTGGCCCCGGTGACGGCTAACTCTTAAGCTTTCTGCTTTCTCTTTGTATGCATGTCATTTAACTAAGCTTTGCAACAATTTTTTTTATTTTTTTTGGTTTTGTTTGTATGGGGACCACACCCGGCAGTGCTCAGAGGTTACTAGTGGCTCTGAACTTAGAAATAATTCCTAGCAGTGTTCTGGGGGACCATATGCGATGCCATGACAAATCCAAGTCAGCCCCGTGCAAAGCAAACGCCCTCTCCACTATACTGTCATTTTGCACCTCTGTACTCTCACAGAAAGAGAAATATCTGTGTGTGTCTGTGTGTGTGTGTCTGTGTGTGTTTGTGTGTGTGTGTGTGTGTGAGAGAGAGAGAGAGAGAGAGAGAGAGAGAGAGAGAGAGAGAGAGGCTTTGGTTTTACACTTAGAAAGGACGTTTTATGTCATTTATCCTGAGGAAACTTGGTGGTGTTTTGCACCTGAATATGCTGTGAAAAATAGGTAAGGGCCCTAGCAATGGTATAGCAAGTGGGACACTTGCCTTGTACACAATTGATCCCAGGTTCCATCCCCAGCATCCCAAGCATCACCAGGAGAAATTCCTGGGTGCAGAGCCAGGAGTAACCCCTGAGCATTGCTGGGTTTGACCACCCCCCCAAAAAAAAGAAATAGATAAGTACAAAATATGCTTTCTCACATTTGCACTGCTTTCAAACTGTGCTTTGTAGGCCAGAGAGATGGCCCAGGCTGGAGTGCCTGTTTTGCATGCAACCTGGAACACGCCAGGGTCCCCCAGCACCACCACAAACACCCCTAAGCAACAAGCCAAGGCTAATCCAAAAGTCAAAAATAATTAACTTTTTATAATGCTTTATCAAGTATTTGGCCAAGTGTACTTGGCGGTGGTATTCTCTTTGCAGGTAATCATCCCTGAAACCACTACATTGGTGTTTTGCCAGGAATAGTAGCCCAAATGAGAGAAATTCCTCATTCGTTCTGAAAGCCATCCTCCATTCCACCAGATCATTCCAGGTCTTAAGTAAAACCAAACACTTTACAGCAGGTTCCGCTTCTCCCTGGCAGACACATTTCAAGACCCTCCAGTAATGCCTAAAATCCCAGAAAGTCCATGTTTTTTCCTGTTAGTTGGCTGTGTTAAAGCTTTATTTATTAATCAGACTCAGCAAGAGACTGACAGTGATCAGAGACCCCCGCATCTGCACAGATCCTGTCACTGCGACCATAGCTCATTTTCAGCATAGTTCCCTGTCTGTAAGATTCCAGGACAGTTCTTGACTGTGGGTGATGTGAAAAGCATCACTATGGATGGGGGCCTCCGTGATCTCTTGCTAAAACCGACAGGAAGTGCCTGTGTGATGACCCAGAGTGACCCGGCCTCTCTCTCGGCCCAACGGTCACTGTTGAGCTCAGGGGCAGGTGGGCAGATGCATACCCACTTGTTCCGTCATGCTGCTCAGCTCTGCCATGGAGCGTGGAAACATCCAGAACAACCTTGCATGCTGCTGAAAATAAGCTGGTAGTAACCTACGCTGTTATCCGGGAAGGTGATCCTTGCTATCACAAGGGCAGTCACAAAGAACCACACACACACACACACACACACACGCACACACATCTGCCCGTGGATATACATACTAAACAAAATAAGGGCATTGCTGGCACACCAGGTGCTGGAGATTGATAGTCCAGGGGTTTAGGCACTTGGCATTACTTAGTTCCATTCCTGGTACTACTGTAGTTCCCCAAGCACCACTGGGAGTTAGCCCAAAGCACCAACAGGTCTGGTCCCAAAGCCAAGAGTAATTTAATTTTAAAATAAAAATAAAACTCCATTTTAAAAAAGCAAACAACAACAGCAAAACTACTGTAGGAGCTAGAGAAATAACAGCGGGGAGAGCACTCGCCTTGCACATGGCTGACCCGGGTTTGATCCCCGGCATCCCATATGGTCCCTGAGCACCACGGGAGTGACTCCTGAGCACAGAGCCCGGAGTAATCCTGGAACATCACTGGGTCTGGCCACCCCAAAGCAAAACAACAGCCACCAAAAGATAACTGTAATCTGAGAGATCAAACCAACACAGGAAGTTCAGTGTCCAGGAAACTGATGCAATGCATGAGAGAAGTCAGCAGGGAGAGAAAGTTCCAGGACAAGAGTCATTCCCAAGAGAGGGGGAGAGAGCAGGGAATGTCTCCCAGGAAAAAGAGAATTTGGGGGAGAAAAAAATATATATATATACACATACACACATATAAATACCAATGTGTTTGAATATGCCAAGGGAATATCTGACAGAATTTAAGGATGTGTTAATAAATTGAGGAAATGAAAATAATCTTTGCACATCCCACGACCACAAATGCACAGTCATATTACAGTGTAAAATGCCTCTGTTGATTCCACCCGCGTGGAGATGGTCACCTCGCTATTATGGTAGAATGCATGAGTGTTTGTATGAATATGGGGGGTGGAAAGCTCATCTCTAAAGTTCATCTCTTGAAAGTCAAGATCGGGCTGGAGCAATAGCACAGCAGGTAGGGCGTTTGCCTTGCACGCTGCCAACCCGGGTTCGATTCCCAGCATCCCATATGGTCCCCTGAGCACCACCAAGGGTAATTCCTGAGTGAAGAGCCAGGAGTAACCCCTGTGCATCGCCAGGCGTGACCCAAAAATATAAATAAAGTCAAGATCAAATGCAGAAACCCATTTTGCAGAATAGCAGTGTAAGGTCCAGAGAGGGTAGTTAAGATGCTTGTTCTGCACACAACTGGCCCAGTGTGATCCTCAATGGTACATACAGTCCCCTGCGCACCACCAGGAGTGACCCTGAGCACAGAGCCAGGAGTAAGCCCCCGAGCATTGCCGAATGCGTCCCCTCTTCCCCAAAAAGAGAAATGAAAGAGTAGGATGAGCATGATACTGGAAATAGACGATGAATCCCAGAAGAAACCACGACAGGAATTTGAATTATTTGCTTCGTAGAAATGGGAGTGGAGAGAACTGGGACCTTTCAACTCGAAGCTTTTTCTTTTTAAAGAAATGTCTGTGGGTGGGCTTTGATTTTTCTTTTTTTAATTTAAAATTTAGGGAGATACTCCTTCACACCCAGGAGGCTGGCTGTGATCAAAACCAGATCAAAGCAAGTGTGAAAGAGAATGGGGAGAAATCAGGGGCCCTCCCGAGAGAGGGTCCGAGTGGAGGAGGGTGTAACCAGTTTGGAATGTACTCGGGAAAGGCCTGGAAAGGTTTCAAGCAGAGCTCCGGCTGTCCTCACCCATTCTGTCCCTAGGTAGATCACTTGATCACTTGACATCCCGTTACTCATCGATTTGCTCGAGCAGGCGTCAGTAATGTCTTCGTTCCTCCCTGTCGCGTGCTAGTGTAGCCCAGTGGCATCTGCTCTCCCCAGGAACATGAAGAGCCTCAAGCCTATCATTCAGGGTCTTGACGAAGAAGTCTGACTATCTCATAGGTGGGCGGTCACGCGATCTTTTGACATCCCGTGGAATCCAGTTGGTAATGGCTCTAGTCCAGTGGTCGTCTCCAAATCACATTATGTGTCCACGCCATCTGATTTTCGATGCCTTGGCAAACGAGACAGCGTCCCTGATTCTCGATCATTGACGGAGGTCGGAACTCCAGATTCTTTCTGTCACTTGAGTGAAGCGTGATACTCCAAGCATAGCTCTTTCGATTCCTCTTTGGGAGACCCGAATAGCGTTCTCATCCTGTTTCCGTAGGGCCCAGTTCTCCAAGGCATATGTTAATGCAGGAAGAAATAAATGCAAGAAGTAAATACAAACGGTCTCATTCCCCTAGGCATATACCCAAGACAAATGAAAACCCGCGTCCCACCAAAACCTAACCAGGAACATCCTGGAAGCATAGTTTAGAATGGCCCCCAAAGTGGAAACGACCCAATTTGTTGTCAGGCAGATGGTTGGATAAACAGATTGGCGTGTCCTGTGCAGTATGACACGGTGGCATATTGTCCAGCCAGGAGCAGGAGTTCTGGTGGATTCTCCACATGGCTGACCATCCAGGATGGAACGCTGAGTGCGGGGAGCCAGGCATGGAAGGTCACGTGTTCTGTGATTTTGTTTTAATGAAATCTCAAACGTGGAGCTGTCCGTGGAGGTGGGATCTGGGCTGGTGGTTTCAGGAGGAAGAAGAG